GACGGGAGTCAAAGCGCAGGCTTGCAGGCGCTCATTCCTGGAGTGTGGCTTAAGGCAGTACACTTCTCTGAGAAGAGGGGGAAGAAAAGATCTCTTTATCTTCAGAAGAGTCAGGAAACAGCTAATGTGAAGTCATCGACCAAGAAAAGAACACACAGGCCCAGGGTGAAGGGAATTTGTCCTTAACATATTTTTAAAAAATAACCCACAATTTGGTATTGAAGTGTAATTTTTAAACAAGTATTTTCTTTCCTTTTTCTTTTCTTTCCATCTTGTCTTTTCTTTTCCTTCTTTACCTCCCTCCCTCCATCCCTCCCTCCATTCCTTCTTTTTTTGGGGGACGGAGTCTCGCTCTGTTGCCCAGACTGGAGTGCAGTGGCGTGATCTCGGCTCACTGCAACCTCCACCTCCCGGTTTCAAGTGATTCTCCTGCCTCAGCCTCTCAAGTAGCTGGGATTACAGGCCCCTGCCACCACACCCGGCTAATTTTTTGTATTTTTAATAGAGATGGGGTTTCACTGTGTTGGCCAGGCTGGTCTTGATCGCCTGACCTCATGTTCCACCTGCCTTGGCCTCCCAAAGGGCTGGGACTACAGGTGTGAACAACAGCGCCCAGCCAAGTATTTATTTCTTAAGGCCCAGTCCTACAAAGTGCAAGGCCATTTGAGAATGTCAGGAACCATAATGAAATCAGATCAAAATTCAGCAGCTTTCCACATTGACATTGTTAGAGATGCTTGCCTTTAAATTTTGCCCAGCCGTTCGGGTTCAGGAGCAATTTTATAGGCCTGTATATATGATGATATAATCAGTGCTTCTATACAATCCTATTTATAAACAAAAACAAGGGAGCCGTCATGCATGTCAGAGTCATTCAGAAAATGTTTAATGAGCAGCATCAGGTAATGAAAGTGCCTAACAGGATTTCCAAAACGCCCAGTTCTTCAAAACTCCATATGAAAATCTTTAAATCTGACATTTAAAATGGTTCACATTATTATTAGAAAAAACATGTAAGATGTATTAAAGAGGGAGCATGGTTTGGCTCCTTTTTTAAATTTTAATTATGGACTTTATTACTTAGAGTGTTTTTAGGTTCGCAGGAAAACTGAGTGTCAGGTGCAGGGAGCCTCCCGCACCCCTCGCCCGGGGCTGCACTTGGTACAGTGACCTGTCACGCAAATACACAGCTCACATTAGGGCTCACTCCTGTGTCAAACACTTCATGGGTTTCAACAGGTGCGTGTTGACATGGACCCACTAGCTCTGGTCCCTTTTATCAGGTTAAAAATAAAACAAGGCCTTGCAGAGATTTAAATGTGGCAGTAATAACCTTTGTTATATTTTCCCTTCTGAAAATATTAGACTTGGAAGGAAATGTTTAACAAGTAGCCACTGTTCTGTGTCTGGGCACATGTCCATAACAAGCGTATTTTCTTATCTACTTCGTGCTGTTGCCAATTTGCAGACCAGTTGCTCAGAAGCTGTGATTTTTCTTCTGAGTGTAAGCTTATCCTCAAAATGGAAACTTTAATCAAAAATACAGCTTGGTCTCAGAGGAGCATTGTAGTCTTGCTGGCTGCAATTCACATGAAGACCGATGACATTATCTCTTTTTTCTGCATCCATCCATCCATCCATCCACCCACCCACCCATCCATCCACCCAACCCTCCATCCCTCCATCCCTCATCCATCCATTCATCCACACATCCATCCATCATCTACCCATCCATTATCCATCCATCCACCCATCCACCCATCCATCCATCCATCTGTCCATCCACCCAACCATCCATCCACTCATCCACCTATCCATCCATCCATCCGTCCATCCATCCATCCATCCATTCATCCATCCATCCATCCACCCACTCATCCACCTATCCATCCACCCATCCATCCACTCACCCATCCACCTATTGATCCACCCATCCATCCATCCATCCACCCACTCATCCACCTATCCATCCACCCACTCATCCACCTATCCATCCACCCATCCATCCATCCACGCATCCACCCATCCATCCTCCCACCCATTCACCCATCCATCCATCCACCCATCCATCCATCCATTCATTCTTTTGTTTGCTCATTTCCACCCAGAATCCATCATTTCTCAAACTGAGGTTTCAGCATCATTCCTTCCTTTTAGAAAGTGCAAACCAAAGCTAAGATTGGCTCACACATGCCATGCAGGAGGTAGAGTGAGAGCATTTTTCAGACCCTAGTTCTCTTCTGGCCCCACCTCCCATGGTTTCTGGAAGTCCTGGGAGAGGGAAAAGGAGAGAAAGATGGAAAAGAAGGATAAATCATCAAATGGGGATTTTCCCTCTCCTTGGAGGGAACTGTTCACCTGGCTACCCTTGGAAATTTGATTTTCAGTGTTAAAACTTGACATTTCTTATAGTAGTACGTGTACCAAAGTTATAAAATGGGCAAACTTGTCTAGATGAAGTTTCCTACATTATTATGACATTTTTCCCTGGAGAATCACAAGCTCTGACATACACTTGTGAACCTTACTTATGCAGAAATTCTCTTAAACAGAGATTCTTTCTCTCAATTTAACTTAGGTTAACACAGACACATATTTGACACAGAAAGAATTTTTTCTCTTCATTGTTCAAGTCACCTGGAGGCAGCTCCTGCCTGGGGTGGATGCCTCTGACCCCTGGGAATGACACTGGCAGCCACCGTGATGCTCCCCAAGGAAGGAGGCTGGTGCCTGGTCCAGCTTTCCCATCCAGCACCTCCGCGGCTGGCTCACCCCAGCTCAGGGCAAAAGCCTAATCCAGGATTGTTCAGGCCAGCTGGTCCAGTCGGACGCTAGAGTTTGTCTGGGGGCCCAGCCTGCCAGCAGCACAGTTGAGGGGACACAGGCTTGGCCACAAGCACCCCCACTATCCTTTCCTACAGATCTGGCACATTTAATCTTCTTCTTTGGGGAGGGAAGAGGATGCATTCAGAAATGCCTATGCAGATGAGGCCCTCAGGAGCTTGCAGTGGAATCACTCAAAATTCCCAAGAAGCCTGAGTCTCCTAATTCAATTCCATGTACATCTGCCTAATTCTCAATCCACGTCTAAGGTTAGAATGCACATTTTAACTGGCCATTCTGGACAACACACATACCCACTATACCATGCATTTAACCCTCTCTGTACCTTGCTCATATCAGCTCAAATGCAGCCCGCTTCTCAAAAGCCCAGTTCACTTTGCAGCAGGTGCGCGCTTCCATTAAAGTTTTCCTCCCGTGGGTTCCGGCAGGCTTCCCAACACAAACACAGCAGGAACTGGATTGTGATTGTAGAAAATGCAAAATAATCTCTAGGTGAGGGCTTAGGATGAAAAGTGAATTGAGTGTTGGTGCAGGTTTTTGTTTGTTGTACTTGTCGGGGAGGGTGATGAAAATGCTCTAAAATCGATGGCATTGATGGTTGCGTGAGCCTGTGGATATGCTTTACAAGCACTGAACTTTACACTTTAAATAGGTGACTTGTACTGTGTGTGAATTATATTTTAATAAAGCTGTTATTTTTATAAAGTAAATTTAGCAACAACACCGGGTACAAGCTAAATATACAAAAATTATATAGACCAGCAACAAATAATTAGAAAATGTGAATTTTTAAATGACACCAGTTTAGTAGTATCAAAACCCATCAACTACCTAGTAGTTATTCTAGTAAAATATTTTGAAAATAGCAAAACATTTATTAAGGTAGATTAAAGAAGATTTAAATAGGCCAGGAGTGGGGGCTCACGCCTGTAATCCCAACACTTTAGGAGTCCAAGGAAGGTGGGTCATTTGAGGTCAGGAGTTTGAGATCAGCCTGGCCAACATGGTGAAACCTCATCTCTGCTAAAAATATAAAAATTAGCCAGGCATGGAGGTGCCTGTAATCCCTGCTACTTGGAAGGCTGAGGCAGGAGAATTGCTTGAACCTGGGAGGCGGAGGTTGCAGTGAGTGCAGATCACGCCACTGCACTCCAGCCTGAGTGACAGAAAAAAAAAAGAAGATTTAAATAAAGGAAGAAACACGATATGTTTATGGATTAAAAAACACAAAAATTGATTTATAAATTCCATGTAATTCCGGTTAAAATCCAGGCAGATGTGTGTGAGTGTGCGTGTTGGGGGCGGGGGTTGCTAGGGTTTACACGGGCATGTACAGGGCAAGAGTGGCAAGAAGACCTTGAGGAAGCCCAGAGCGAGGGGCTCAGTCCACCAGGTGCCAATGCCCCCCGGTAAAGCTACAGGAGTCAGGACCCGGAGACACAGCCGTCAGTGAAGTGGAATGGAGGGGCCAGAAACAGACACATACACAGACGCTTGATCTACAGCAGATTCAGGATTGCAGAGCAGGGAATGGGGGGCTTCTTTGTGAATGGTGCCAGCTCAGTTGCAGACCATATGGAGAATGGGAACTGGGGCTGCCCGTTATCCCACACGCGGTCTGCAGATGCAAACGCAGAGGCTGAAACAAATGCATCTGGAAAAAAATCACGGGGGGAGCGTCTTCTCCGCGGTGCCTAGGATCCACGGGTGAACAAAACCAGGTCCCTGTCTGGATGGGGTTTCGTTTTGGGGTGTGGAGGGGGTGCAGAACCAAAAATCGCCAAACAAGCGAGTGAAGCAGAGAGCTGGTAAGTGGGTGCTCCCACAGGCAAGAAAGGCGGGGAACACGGGCAGGCACTTGTGTGTGCAAGGACACCAAAGGTGGACCTGCAGAGCCACGCCTGGCAGCAGCGACCGTCAACGCTGGCCTACGTAGGCATGGGATGAGGTGCCGCTATTGAAATCAGGTCCATCTGGATCCGTGTGGAATGTGGAAGGAGCCACATGTGCAGCGGCGCTGGCATACCGTGAGAATACGAGAGGATGGTGAGTCCCACGCAGTGCCACGGAGGGGGAAAGGCAGCCCGGTGAGGCAGCCGGTGGCTCGGACCCGTTCTGTGACCCAGCCGTGGCGCTGCACTCCACGGCGGGTTTCACTGCTTCTGTCACAACTCAGGGAACAAGGCCGTTGGATGAGGTGCTAGGACCGCTGATGAGGAGGCCTGGCGGAGCAGGGACCCTGACCTGCGCTCACAGAAACACCCATCTGCTCCGCAGTCCAAGCCTCAGGAATTGCGTGTGAGGTTCAGCCACAAATCACAGCAGGCACAAGGAAGAAGCAAACAGGGAAGTCCCCGAATTCGGAGTGAGAAACGGCAGGATTTCATACCCTCTTGGGGGCCTGCACTTGGAGAATGACTGCAGCTGGATTTCAAACCCGAGGAATTCACTCTCCGTCCCTGTCGTGTGGGTCACAGGGGAAGAGGAGCCGCTCAGAACTATTGGACTGTGCTCTCTAATCGGGTTGTTAAGAATAGTATTGGTGGGTTTTTTTCTATTGCTGTTGTTTTTTGATTTTGTTTTTGAGATGGAATCTCGCTCTGTTGCCCAGGCTGGGGTGCAGTGGCACAATCTTCGCTCACTGCGACCTCTGCATCCTGGGTTCAAGTGATTCTCCTGCCTCAGCCTTCTGAATAGCTGGGATTACAGAAACGTGCCACTACACCTGGTTAATTTGTGTATTTTTAGTGGAGATGGGGTTTTACCATGTTGGCCAGGCTGGCAACCCCCCTCTGCAGCAGCACAGGCTGGAGGGGTCCCAGCATCCCATCCGCCAGGATCCCAGGACGTGGGGTGGCAGGGCCCAACCCTCCTCTGGGTTCTCCTGGGGGCTGAGGAGTTGGGTCCAGGGCATCGTGAGGACACGGGACCCCCCATTGTCGGCTTCCTGTGAACACTCAGGCCCGGTAGGGCAGAGCAGTAGGTGAGGGCCCATGTCTGGGACCAGGCTGTCTCACTCCTAACCCCTTCTCTCCCTCCTTCCTGCTGTTCAGCCTTGGCAAGTTACATGACCTTCTGGACCTCAGTGTCCTCATCTGTAAGACGGGTGTTGTGCTGTGGATGTGAGGAGCCAATGGGAGTGCTGCTGGCTGGCGGCATTTGCCTGGGGCTCTGATCCAGGGTCGCCAGAACCCAATTCCACATTAGCCAGGGTTCTGGCAGCCGGGACCACTGGGAGACAGACTGCTCGGGTCCCCAGCAGACTTGGGTCAGGCCCTTCCTGGGCCCCTACGGCCCCCATGCTCACGCTGTACACTGGCCTCAGGGGGTGGGGAGTATTCCCAGCCCTTTCCCAGGCAGAATTCTTGGTGATTCTGCTCTGATTAGTGCTGGGGGAGGGGATCTCGGGTCCTTAATCCCCAGGGTGGGTGGTCACCACATTCCAGGGGTCACCATCGGCACTGGCCTCAAAGTCCTCAGCACCAATTGACATAAAATCCATGGGGATTCAGCCGAAGGCTCACACATGTAATCCCAGCACTTTGGGAAGCCAAGGTGGGAATGTCGCTTGAGCCCCTGAGTTTGAGACCAGCTGAAGCAACATAGTGATACCCCATCTCTCCAAAAATACGAAACACGGTTAGCTGAGGGTGGTGGCATGCGCCTATTGTCCCAGCTACTGGGGAGGCTGAGGCAGGAGGATTGTTTAAGTCCAGGAGGTCAACGCTGCGGTGAGATATGATCACGCCACTACACTCCAGCCTGGATGACAGAGCCAAACTCTGTCTCTAAAAACAAAACAAACAAAAACTCCATGAGAATTCCCTCAGGGATGGAAAATTACTTCCAGCCATTGGGAGCAGAGTGCACCAACTGGGCACGGGGTGCCCCACTATGGGAGAGAGAGGCTCCTTTCTGCAGCTTAATCACCCCGACGGACTAATGAGGCTAGCCGTTCCCAGGAAGCGTGTTTTACGTAACTGCTGGTAATGAGACTGGTGAGGCTGCGTGTGTGTGCGTGTGCGCGCTCGTGACTCGGGAAGCCTCCAAGCTGCCAGGATTCATTCGTCTTCTCTAATGAGCCTCATGGGAACATGACCACCCTGCAGGAAGGAGAAAGCGGGATGGGCTTGCTTTCCAGCAGCTCTGCTCCAAAAGTGGAAGAACTTACTGCCTTCAGGGACACTCCACAGCTCCTGCCTCTGCTCATTTCTACGTCACTCAAGTGAGCAGCTCCTGAATTTGAAGAGGCATGTGTACATAAGTACATGCATTCACACATGCACGCAGGCCACATGTGAATATGTGCACATGCATTCATGGTGTACACTCCACACACATGTCCACAGGCATACACCCTCACATGCTATATATGTGCATGTGTGCCTGCATTCACGCGCACAAACCACACATATGTACACACAGACTTGCATTGCGCAGCACACGTGCACACACATGCACCACACACATCACACATGTGCAAACATGTATCACACTGCACACATGCATATAAACATGCACCACACACCACACCACACACATGCACACAGACACACATCACACCCACACCACACATATGTGCACATAGACCTGCATCACACAGCACGTGTGCATATAAACATGCACCACACACCACTTCACATGCATCTGTGCACAAACCTGTATCACACAGCACACATGCATATAAACATGCACCACGTGCCACACTACACACATGTGTATACATATCACACACAGACTTATACATGCGCAATCATTCCCACACACGCCATATGCATTTATATACCCACACACATCACTGCCACATATGCATGTGTTGCATACCTGTGCACATGTACCACACACACCACATGCATGTGCATGGGTGCATGCAACACACTTACACATGCCATGTACCTGTGCACAGGTGCGTGCACTCACACATACCACAGATGTATACACACATAATTTGTATGTACACATATATGCACATAGACCTGCATTTACATATATACCTGCCATAGAAGCCAGGTGTGAAAATGAAAACCTCAGAACCCAGAAGCCGTTATAAGAGGAGATGGACCCAGCCAGGAGGAAGCCGCCTCCACCAGCTGCAGCACTCAGGGCATACAAAGGACCCCTGGGTGAGGGGCCAAGCCGAGTGGCTGATGCTGGAGGAAAGCTGGGGGGGCCAGGACAGCCCCCTAGGGCCGCCTTGGTCCCAGCGCCGACCGCGACTCCTTCCTCCGGCTGCCTCATTCACTGGGCTTGAGTCGACAAGAACCTGCCAGGGAGGGCGGCAGGAGCACAAGGCTGAGGGAGCCTCAGAGTTTTCCTTGCAATGACGAGACCCAGGAAGCGGGGAAGGGCCTCCACACACCCGGGGCTCAGCGGGGACCAGGACATGGCGGCGGCTGGATGGACCCCAAAACCAGGCAAGACTGATGGAGAGCGTGGATCAGGGAGTTTCTGCACCAGCTCTTCGCACAATGAGGAAGGGTCTTGCTGCTACAAAATAGAAGAAACTCAGCAAACAACTTCTCTGAGCAATGGTTAAAGACACCCCCTCCCCCAGCACGTGTGGTCCTGGAACTCATGCTGTACATGGTTTCGGCTCTTGCTGGGGGGCTCCTGCGGCCCTTGGGTTTGAAGTCAGCAGAGGCCTGGCCTTGCTGCCTGCCCATGTGCCCGCCTGCCCATGTGCCCGCCAGCCATATGCCAGCCTGCCATGTGCCCGCCTGCCTGCCCACTTGTCCTCCGGCAGCATGGTCTGGGCAATGGCAGTGGAATGGGGAAGCAGCCCTACTTTCCTCTCTGGCCCGGGGTCTGAGTGGGGGACCCTGGCCATGGCATGTGTTTGTCCTCAGCTCTGCACTGGCCCCCACAGGCCCCTGGGGTTAACCTGGGCCCGGAGTTTCTAGGAAAGAGGGGTGTGGGCTGAGTATACAGGGCTCACCCTTCCTGTGGGGGCCAGAGGGCTCCTCTGCCCCTCCCAGGCCCACTTCCTTCCTCCCACACGGACGGCCCGGGGGTTCAGCCCTGGAAAATATGAGCAGCTTGGCTGTGGCTCGACGTCCTCTTTCTACTGGCCTGCACCTGGGACCCACTTCCTGCTGGCTGCCACTGCTGGTGGGTCCAGGGCAGCCTCAGCCATGGGTCAGCCCTGCAGCCAGCGGCCCACGCAGAAACCATACTGCCTCATGCCGCATGCCCAGCATGCGGGCAGCTGGGGGGTCCTAAGCAGCAGGGGAGGATCTACTAGACTTGAGAAGCCAGGAATCCACACCAAACCAGGGATCTGGTGGGAGAAGAAGTCCAGCTCCTCAGCCTGGCCCCCGGAGACTGGGCATTTGTCTGCTCCCTGTCCCTCCCAAAGACTCAGGGGCTGAGTCCCAAGGGCTCCTGTGGCAGCTCTGTGCCCACCATGCCAGCCCCTCCACCGCCTCTTCTAGCTCTGGCTTCAAGGCTTTCTCCCTGGTGCCCACGGTCAGCCCTCTGCCCAGCAGTTACCTCCGTCCAGGCACACACAGGTCTTGTTCCCGCCTTTGCCTATGGGGCCCCTCCACGGATGGCTGGAGGACCCTTATGGACCCTCAGCTGGTCATCTGCTGCCTGTTCCTGTGCCCACAGCCAAGGTGGCCTGATCTCACAGCACAGGGTGAGTCAGCTGGGAGGAATCAGGGGAGGCGACTGTCCAGCCCCCTCTGACCCCGGCAGTTACTGGCCCTGCACTGGGCCCGGTTTCCACACCTGTCAACAGCAGGTTAGGACTTTATGCAGAGTCACGCAGTCTTCACACGCACACACAAGCTGGTATACACACGTATGTGCAGACACATGCACAGGCAAACACATGCGTACGCATACCATTATGGATTGAGTTGTGTCTCTCCCTAATTCCTGTTGGAGTCCTAACCTCCAGGATCTGTGAATGAACTTACTGGAGACAGGCTGCAGCTAACCAAATAGAAATGAGGTAATGAGGGTGTGTTTGTGTTTCTTTTAGAGGGGGAGGTCTGGACACCATGTGAAGACAGCTGGGGATGCATCTGCAAACTGAGGAGCCACGATGGCTGGGGGACCCCTAGGAGCTGGGGGAGGCCTGGAGCAGCCTCTCCCCAACAGCCTCAGGAGGAACCAGCCTGCTGAACCCTGACCTCGCACTTCTGGCCCCCAGAGCTGTGAGATAATAAATGTCTATTGTTTAAGCTCCAGTGTGTGGTAGCTTATTACGGCAGCCCTAGCAAACTGTGCACCCAGGAACAGGCCAGGCACACAGGCACACAGACACAGACACACAGGCACACGCACACAGACACAGACACAGACACAGCCACAGGCACACAGACACACAGACACACAGGCACACAGACACAGACACACAGGCACATGCACACAGACACACAGGCACACAGACACACAGACACAGACACAGGCACACGCACACAGGCACAGACACACAGACACAGACACACAGGCACACGCACACAGACACAGGCACACAGGCACACAGACACAGACACAGACACACAGACACAGGCACAGAGGCACGCAGGCACACGGACACAGACACACAGAAACAGAAGGAAGAACTGACCTGAATTTGCCCCACTCCCCGCTGCCAAAATTCATTTCCTAGCCCCAGCGTCTCAGAAGGTGACTGCATGTGGAGCTGGGGTCTTTACAAGGCGATTAGGTTAAAATGTGGTCATTAGGGTTGCACTGGCCCAGTCTGGGGAGTCTCATAAGAAGAGCAGATGAGGGCACAGACACACAGACAGAGGGACGGCCCTGTGAGGACACAGGGAGAGACGCGTCTGCAAGCCAAGGACAGGCCCCAGGAACCCGCCCGGCTGCACCTGGGTCTCTGACCCCAGCCTCCGGAACTGTGAGAAGCAGGCGTCTGCTGTTCAAGCCACCTGTCCTGCGCATCCTTAGGGCAGCCCAAGCAAAATGATAAAATCCCCAGCGCCTCATCCCCACGGATGTAAGCCTGAGAGTGCACCTGTCAAAGGCATTAGGATAAAAACAACTGGAGAGCGTGCCCCGCATCAACACAGACACGGAACGCACAACCAGATGTCAGCAATCACGCCCAGCAAGAAAACTAGACAATACCCAGGAGCAAACGCGCTTCCGCCCGGGACTCCCCACCACCAGACGCACTTTCGCCCGGCACTGGAGAGCCATTTGCTATCTGAGCGTCCATCGGTGTCATCCATGTAGTAGCAGAATAAAAGAATAAAACACGATCATCTCAATAATGCAGAGAAATCTTTCAACAATCAAGCAACACCATTTTCACAGATAAGAACTCGAAACAGGCTAAGAATACAGTGGAACTCTCTCAATATGATACGGGCTGCTTGTGAAGAGCCTAGAGCTAAAGTCAGACGTGACGGTGGCATGGAACACCGATCTCACACAAACTCACGCAGAAACAGAAGGAAGAACTTCTGATGCGGCTTGAATTTGCCCCCCTCCCCACTGCCCAAATTCATATCCTAACCCCAGCGTCTCAGAAGGTGACTGCATGTGGAGAATGGGATCTTTACAGAGGTCACCAAGTTAAAATGTGGCCATTAGGTGAGTTTCCCTCTCAGTCTGTGAAGGAGGTGAGGCTGTCTGCCTGACTGCGTCTATCCGTGCTGTACTGGAAATGCCGGCTGTGCCGTCAGGGAGACAAAGGGGTCGTGCAGTTTGGACAGGGGCCTGTTACCAGGGTGTGGCCTTTCCCCCAATCCCACCCTCCGACTCCACCCTGCGCTGCCAGGGCTGGGACTCCACAAACCACATCTCTGCTCGGCCCACTGGCCCCCCCTTAGACTGCCAATAAGGGGTGCTGGAGAGACCGCCAAGCTCCGAAGGCACAGGGGAGGCCAGGCAAGTGTTCCGGGTTCCAGGAGACTGAAGTCTGTGAGCGCTCCTGCATCACACCCTTGAGTGGGAGACAGCTGACAAGCATGGAAAGAGGGCTGCCCACAGAAGGTTGTGTCACGTCGCTCGGTGATTGCACACGGGGCTTGCTGGGGCCCAGAAGCCAGGACCCAAGACACAGCTTTGATGTGAATCCAGGCAGCCTCGAGGTCCCTCTGGCCTCCCTGCTCCTGTCCCTCGCAAAGCAGGAAGTTGTTCTCTGAATCCCCCTTATCTGCCTGAAGTTCACACCTGCCCAAGAAGAAGACAATGGCCTGAGTCCCCTCCCTGTTTTCGATTAACCGAGCTCCTACCCAGGAAGAAAGGCTGACGTTTGTCAACACAACACACCTAGCAAATCTCACCACCATTGTCTGCTCCAGTGGACTTTGCCCCAGGCCATTGTCTGTTCTTCAAGCCCACTGAATTCCCTAAAGATGATTTACCACCTCCGTAAAACCACTCACACCGCCCTATCTCCTTTCCCCTAAGAGGAAGGTGCATGGCTGGCTGTGGGCCCCTGGGCTTTGGGGTAACCATCCTCCTAAGAGTCTCCGCGCTACACTCGTTAGAATAAATCTGTCAGCCTTTTCTTCAGTTAATCTGCCTTCTGTGAGTTGACTTTTCCAGCGAACCTTTGGAGAGCAAAGGGGACGTTTTTCCCTTGGCCCCTGCTAGCCTACTTTTTTTTTTTTTTTGGTTCTGAAAACACTTTTGGGGGAGGGAGAGGAAGTGTGATGAAGAAAATGGGATAAAATGCACAAAGTTAGTAAGTCCGAGTAAAGCGCTCCGTCTCTACCCCTGCAACTTTGTCCTCTAAGCTTTAAATTTCAAAACGAAGCACTAAAGAATGAGAGCATGAAGCTGGGAAAAGTCATCGTTTCTCCCACAGGGAAGCAGCCGTGTGCCCATGATCAAAACCAGCCAGGGTCCGACGCCAGGACTTGGAGGCGGTTCCCCGTCGGAACGCTGAGCCGGCATGTTTCGCAGCTGACCTCAGCTCCCTGCAGCTGGGAGCACATTTTTTCCTATCGGATGTTCTTTCGCAGAAAAAGAATGTTCAGATTTTTGCTTTTGGTCTCACTGTTGGTGATGCTTTTACGGATGTGTGCGGCCGGACACACACAGGCCCACGCCATTCATTTCTCTTTCCACTAGCTAGGTTAGGCTTGCCTGTCCACAGAACACATATTCCTGATTCCCTGGCCGCGCCAGGCAGCCTCGGCGCCTGGGGTGTGTTGGGAGCAGCCAGGGAACCAGTGAGCTGCCGAATTTGTGGGCTGCTGGGTGGAGAGAGCTGGTGTTAGAGGCTGTCAGATGTGGAAGTAATCGACAGGACCCCAGGTCCCGTGGTTTTCAGTCTTCAATCCGTTTCGTGCACAACAGCACTGGAATAAAAGAGGCCAAGTATGTGAAGTGCAAAAGCAGCCCTGATCTACCTGAGCGGGCAGCTGCTCCAGGACCTTCTCGGAGTCCCATGCCCTGTCCTGAGCCCCCCGACCTCCCATGGAGACCCAGGGACCAGGCCACTAAGGGAAGTCAGCAACTAGGGCCCCAGACTTCAGCCTGGTGGTCCATGCCAGGAAGGGCCCAGCCACACAATGCTGCCCGATGAGTGAGGCTTGAAGCCCAAGGGCAGCCTCTCCCGGAGCAGCTGCGGCCCAGTCAGGCCTCTTCTCCAAGCCCCTTCTCTCCGTGCGTCATTTTGTTTTGTGTGTGGTGGACACCATGAGTGGCCTCCCGCCAGCGAATCTGACCAATGATGACTAGCGACCATTCCTGGCTGCTCTGTGAAGCGGGGCCCTGTCCACACAGGGAATCTGGGTTCACAGCCAACTCCAGGACTGAGATCTTTGCTCAGGTCAGAGCCAAGATCTGGGGATCCAGCTATTCCCCCACCCATCAAATGTCCCTTAGTACCTGAGCCCCTGCTGCCCAGGGGCACCATCGAGCCAGAGCCCCGGGGGAGGGCCCCAGTGGAGTGTAATGGACAAAACAAGATGGAGCAAGACAGGTCCGACTCATCAGCGCCGTCATTCACAGCAAGTGTGGGGTAGCAGTTTCCCTAACTGGCACGTCTGTGCCCTGTTCTAAGGCTGTTGGCTGTGAACGCAGCCCAGCCCCACAACTCTACGGATAGGTGCCACTACTATCCCTATTTGACAGAGCAGGAAACTGAGGCACAGGGAGGTCACACAACTGAGCAGCATAGAGCTTGGATTTGTAGCCGGGGAATCTGATGGGAAAGCTCTAGTCCACCAGCTGCCCAGAGGCCACAGAGAGTGTGGGGCCGAGGACAGTGTGCGTGGCGGTCCCAGAGGGCCACAGAGAGTGTGGGGCTCAGGACAGTATGTGGGGGAGTCCCAGCCTTTGGGAATCTGGGGCACAGCCCAGGAATGAGAAGCCGAGGAGACAGACAAGGAGGGGAGCATCTTGGCAGCAGAGGCGGCTCAGGGCAGCTGAGGGGTGGGGGCCAGTGCTGCAGCCCCTGGGAAGGCTGGCTGGTTTGGATGCAGAGCGGGAGAGCCGCACGGTGGAATCTGAGCTCAGGAAGCAGCCAGGGGCAGGGCCAGCCCCACAGAGCCTTCCCTGGGGCCAAGGCCCAGGGCAACGCCTCCTTCAGCTCACCTCAGAATGCCTCCTCCTGCTCTGCACAGTGCAGTCCAGGAGTCCGCAGCGGGGACACCTCCTACTGGCTCCCCTACACCAGCCAGAAAGCGCAATGGGACAACACTCAACCCACTCACAATTGCAAGCACAATTGGGACACAGTCCCCAGAGGAGTGGCTTTCCCTCTTAAACCATCCACACCCCCGGGACGCCCAACGGGAACCAGAGGTCACCCACTGCCTAGACCAGACCCAGCCATCCCTGAATTCATTATGTGGAACTGGGGAGGGTGCTCCGGGCAGGGGTGGTGCTGGTGATCTTGGTGGCCAGGAGGCCTCACAGTATCCACTCACCGCAGTCTCCACCCCCTCGGACATAGGTCCCTGTCCCCGCCCTCACCAGAGCAGTCTCAGAACTCAGGTGCAGCCCCCATTCCCTACTTCCCCAGGGACCCTGCCACCTTCCCCTACCCAGAGAGAAACACAGCATCTTAGAACAAGAGACAAGGCCCAGGCATTCAGGGAGGAAAAGGAGGGACTGCCCCTCACCACAATCTCCCCCAGGCACACTGGAGTTTCATCAGCACACTGTGTCAAGCAGAATACTAGACCCATAAAGTCATGAAGCCTCCTCGCCCTGCTCCCTCCCAGGAATGTGAGGCTGAGTGCAGAGTGGACCAGGCAGC